AAGGGAGTGTGTCGTATGTTTATACGGGATCAGAGGAGGAGACTCTTGTTGGCTCTTTCGGTCTCCCTTTGACCCAACACCCACCGCCACAACCATTCAACGTACATCCTTGTCCCCACCACCACAAATATGTGCTCCTCTCCGTCCTTGTATTGACACGTGCGACAGAGTATAGTCTCCCAAGCTGGTCGAAACCTGCATTTTCGGTCATTATTTACCAGTTGCCATTCTTTTAGTTTTTCCTCCTCCAGTTTTTTTTTTTTTCATTTTTTTTTTTTTTTTTTCATATCTGCCTTCTTTCTAGTTTTCACCTTCTTATAGTTCTTTTTTGTTTTCTTTCTTACAACTTCAAACACTCTCAACCAACGTCACCAGCGTCGTTCTCGTCCTCGCCCAGACCTCGCCCAGACTTCGCCCCCGCCCTTGCTCTAACCTGTCCATCTACGTACCTTCTAATTAGGTTCCTGAGCGCGCCAAGACAAGACGACACTCCCCTGGCTGTGTCTCGAGACTTTGTCCTGAGACTCTTGTTTATGGACATTCCCTACACGCCCCCCAAATTCAACGTAGCCGCAATTACAACGACATAAGCACACAAGCACATCGACGACTAGCACTGGACGATCAACGTCACCCGGCACACCTCGAGACCTCGAGACTGTGGGACTTCGTGCTTCCTTAGCTGGATTCCCCACTGCCGTCGTGAACACACGGTCACCCGTGTGTTGCTTTTGCGGCTCTCCTCGACCGTTGCTAATGCCCCCGCTGCACTATAGTCTCGCCTCGGTGTTGGTCAATCTCCGTCCGGTTTTCACCACTGCCTTTGTGATCATCTTCATCCCCGACTTTGGCCGCGCCTTTGTCCCATCATGTCACCATCTGCCGCGACCAAATATCTCTGAGCTTGATTTGGGTTTGTCTTCCGGCTGCCCAGACCACCTTAGACCACACTGTCGGATCGACTAGGTCCTGGGTCCTGGCCTTGACGCAAAGCACACTTCGTCGATCCGTCAGCCCTCGCAACGTCTCGACTCTTATGGCCTGGACACCGCCGACGTACATCCACATAGCAGCGTGTAAGAGTGTTGCTATCGTCGAGCGTCGAAACCGCATTCCTGTGCTAGCTCGTATTTGACTCTTGACTTACTCTTTCCAGCAACCCTCCACCTCCCTCCAGTCCTCCAACCACGTCTGCATTGAGATACTTTTTCTATATCATCACCAATTCCGCCCTCGCTAACTATCCCCGGCCACTCTACTTTTCCACTTCCCCTTGTTCGTTTTTCAACCTCACATCATCTGCTTCATCTGTGGCATTACATCGTACTTTTTGCTTATTCGACCTTTTGCTTTCCTTTCTCCGTGACATCCCACTTATCCCTTTGACCTCTTCCCCAACCATTTTCATATTTGCCTCACATTTTTGACTCACGATTTGGGATCTGGCCGTTAGGCTTGGCCATACTGGACTTTTCTCTTCGTTTTCTCCTTATTACTTTGTTAAAAGCGACAAAAGTCCCCCAAAATTCCCACTGCCCCCCCCTGCTCCCTCCGTCCTTTTTATCCCTCGTCGTCCTTCCTTGTTTTATATTTTTATTTTATTATATATTTTTCTCATCTGCATCTCACCATCTTGAATGGACTCTACGACGAAAGGACTGTAGATGACACACACACACACGGGCAGACGGATATCGAACTTTGTGAACCACGATTTATAATATTGGCACCTTGCACCTCTCACCAATCTCTCCATGTCATCTGGACAGATGACGCCAGAGAGCCGCAACGGCCGGCCACATCATGGCCACGGCCATGCCAATGGCACGGCCGCCAGCGGCACCGCCAGCACCACCAACAGCAAGAACACCCGGCGGCCGCAGCAGGAGTGGGCCCAGATCAACGACTGGGAGGTGCATCGCGAGCGCATCACGGAGCTGTACCGCGACCAGGGCCTCCACCTCAAGCAGGTGCAGAAGATCATGGCCGAGCAGTACCAGTTTTATGCGAGCCAGCGCATGTACAAGACGCGCATCAGCAAGTGGGCGATTGACAAGAACTTGAAGGCGGCGGACGTGGCGGCGCTGCTGCAGCTGCAGCAGCAGCGGGCGGCGCAGGGCAAGAAATCACGGTTCACGATCCGCGGACGGGAGATTGACTTTGCACGGGTGGACCAATACCTGAAGCGGGACCCGACGCTGCTGAAGCGGTCGCAGGAGGCCAGCAAGAACGGAAACGGCGACGACCTGTTGGGGGACCTGCTGCCGGGCCACATGGAGGCGGCCGGGATCACATGCCGGACCCCGTCGCCGACACCGCCGCCGTCGCCATCGCCGCCGATGCACACCCATGCACAGTACGCTCCCTATGCCCCGTATGCCCCGGCGCAACACGGCCATGGACAGCAGCACCAAGATGTGTACGGCCATGGCGGCACTGGTAGCCATGGCGGCCAGGGCCACCCACTGTCGCATCACTCGTACGGCCACCCGCACCACCAGAATCATCACTTTGGCCCGTTGGCGTCGTCGACGGTGCCGATCGTGCCGTCACACACACCCATGCCGGTCATGGGCGTGACAACGGCGGCCTCGGCGTTTCCGACGCTAACGTCGCTGTCGTCTGCGTCCTTTTCGACGACGCAAGGCCAAGGCCCCACAGCGTCGACGATGTCGACGATGTCGACCATACCATCCATTAGCCTGCCGACGTCGACCGTGCCGTACATGCCAATGGCATCGACGCAGTCAGCAAACGCCTTTGACCAGCAGCAGCAGCAGCAGCGTTCGCTTTCAACCAGCTATGACAGCCGCCGCGGCAGCTTGGCCCACCCGCCGCCGCCGCCGCTTTTGACGTCGGTCTCGGTGCCGCAGAGCAGCCTGCCGAGCGTTGTCTCGCCGCCGTACCCGTCTCCCGTGTCGACCGTCCAGGACGAGCTGGCCCGGCTGACACGCGAGTATGTCGTGCAGGCGCTCCAGCAGGGCAAATGGGTGCAGAAGACGGGCGGCCTGTTTGTGTCGACCAAGATGGAGGCGGCACACGACCAAGAGACGGCCGCCGACCGACTGGCAGCCTGGGGCCGCGAGATGCGCGCCGGCCGGCGTCTGATCGCCGACGGCGTGCTGGACAAGGGCTTTGAGAGCGTCAACCGCACGATGGACAGCCTGCGGCAGCACCTGCAGGAGGAGGACCCGTCGCTGCTGTTTTATCTGCTGTACAGCACGGCCTTTGGCGTTCAGTGCTCGCTGGACCCGCCCCGGGCGCACGGCATGGCACGTGACAGCACGGCGGCGCTGCGGCAGGTCGGCGTGGCCCTCGGCAGCCACGTGCGCTCGCTGACGCACATTGTGCTCGGCGAGACGCACCCCGTGTCCCGCATGATGCGTCTGCTGGTCGCCCGCGACGGCCAGCTGCGGTCACCCGCGCACGCGGCGGCGCTGCCTGTGCCCCTCGCCGTGATGCGCGACCTGCTGGCCGAGCGCGACCCCGTGGGCGTCGACCCGGCGGCCGCGCCGCAGTGCCAGCGGCTGGCCCACCTGCTCAGGCTCGATCCTGCTTCCAAGGCAGCACCCGCAACGGACGCCGAGCGCGATGAGCTGACGGAAAGGCTGCAGGGCGCACGGAACATGCACACAAAGCTGCAGTTTTACAGTACATACATGACGTTCTTGTCGGAGCTGGTGCAGAAGCAGTACCATCCAGAGGAGCGTGAGTCGACTGTAGCCCCAGCTGCCGGCTTGTCTGGCTTGCCGGGTGTGTCTGGCATGTCTGGCGTGCCCGGCGTGTCCGGCGTGTCTGGCATGTCTGGCTTCTCTGGTTTGTCTGGGTTGTCTGGGTTGTCTGGGTTGTCCACGCTGACTCCGACGTATTCGGCTTCCTCGGACAGCGGCACAACGCCCGAGAGTGCCTATACAACGGCGTCGACCACGACGGCAGCCTACAGACATCTCCCCAATGTCAATGTTCACCAGCAGCAGAGAAAGCCTTCCGGTGTGCCCGCGTCCCACTCTCGCTCCCCACTGTCGGCCACGTCCGTGTCGGCGGCTTCGTCGCTCGCCAACTCGCCGTCATCGCACGCTGTTGCAGTCCCCATGCCTGCCATGTCCATGTCGGGCGTCTCAGTCTCGTCGGCTCTCATGCCGCAGACACCGGCTATTTCGACGCCGCGAACTATGGTCACAGGCGCAGTCCAGAACAGTTACGGTCAGGGCCATGCCCACAACCAACATGGTGACAGCCAGCACGGCAACGACCAGCAACGTCACTCCCCTTACACAGTGCAATCGCATGCATCGGCCTACCCGCCCGTGCCCGTCCCCTCGACGTTCCACACGCACGCGTCCGCGCAGACCAACACACACAGTGGGAGCAACCCGGCATCGATGATGACGGCCGGCGGTTTGCACAATCCCGGGTCGATGTCGATGACGTGGGAGCTGGGTGACGCGGCGAATATGAACTTGCTGTAGGAGGTGGGGAGTGTTGTGATGGGTGCAAGATTAGAAAAGAGGCTTTCTCTACTGGGTTCCATAGCGTTTTGAATTGGGGACATTCTGAATTGAGCGGAAACGGAGTATTAAATAGGACGAAACGGGGATTGGAAACAGAACAGGTATGGGAACATGGGGACAATGCGTTAGGATTTGATTGTACGTACGGTATTTTTCTGTAGCGCTCTGAATTCTATTTTCCATCATAGGCCACTGATTCTTCTCACTACTGGTTGTAAGACATGTGCTACTTTTCTTCCTATGACCCATTCGACCCTTGTCAATGTGAAAGCGCCTGTCGCTAAGCAACGCCGCCTTTCTTGTCCCACGCCGCGACCATGAGCCCCATCTAGGACGGACTGTGCTGAAAACCGCAGACGTTGCTACGTCTCGCGTCATCCGGACGCGCGCTGGTCCAGTCCTGCGTGGGCAACAACAAAGGACCACTCGACGACGAAAAATATGTCATCGATCTCGGGATCGATCCGGGAACCTATCGGCCCTCTCCTCCTAGATGGCCACCCCGCCGTCCACGACGACGTTCTGCCCCGTCATCGACTGACTCAGTGCCAGCGTCTTGACCTGGTCGGCCACGTCCTCAATCGTCGCCAGCCGGCGCAGCGCCGTCTTGTCCGTCGCCTGCTGGATCTGGGCGTCTGAAAACCGCCGGCCCCATTCCGTCATCAGCAGGCCCGGACTCACGGCGTTGCAGCGCACCTTGGGCCCGCACACGAGCGCCAGGCACTTGGTCAGGTGGATCGCCGCGGCCTTGCTGACCGCATAGGCCACGCTGCTGCCGCTCGGGCGGACGCCAGCGAGGCTGGCCACGACGACGAGGCTGCCGCCGCCGTCTGCTTGTTCGAGGAACGGCTTCGCCGCGTGCAAGAGCCAAAGGTGCGACTTGACATTGGCGTTGTAGCAGCGGTCCCAATCCTCTTCGCGCAGCTGGTCCTCGAGGTCCATAAAGTCCGTCACGCGCGTCCACCCGGCGTTGCTCACGACCACATCCAGGCGGCCCATGCGGTCGACGGCCTCGCTAACTAGCTGCTGGATGCCCGCGCGGTCGCTGGCATCAGCCCGCAAGGCCAGAAACCGGGGTGTGTCCGCTGGCAGGTCATAAAAAGGACGAATGGTGGTCGCTTCCCGGATAACCTCCGCGGCCTTTTCCGGGCGCGAGTAGTAGTTCACGACGACGCGAAGGTGCGGTGCCAACGCCTTGACACAGGCCGCGCCGAGACCAGCCGACGAGGCCGTCACGAGAGCGACTTTGACGGGTGCTGACATGGTGACGAGGTGTTTGTGCTTGTGGTTCAGGAAACTACACGCAAATTATAAATGGTTTGACACTGGATGTCTAACCCAGCAAATAAACAACAGCTTCCTCTGTGGAGAGCCCGGCAGCACGAGCGGCCTCGGAGAACCGCCGACTTCGGTGGAGTTCGAGCAGTATTCCGTACGCGGGGTATTGAGCCCCGTAGCGGGTCACAGCCGACAAGGGCCAGGCCTCCCCACAGCATATCGCGCCATTGTCCCGACGCCAACCGCAAGTGCATCTACAGCCGCTAAATGTATGAGCTTATCTTGTCCTTATTCTTTTATATTCATCATTTTTCTCCTTTTTTTATAAAAAAATTGTCAACGGAAGAAACTCCCAAGACAAAGTCTTGCCGCCGCAATTTTCACGTCGTCGACTCAACTTGCATTCACAATATAACACACGCGGTCCTCGCCCGGCACGTCAACCAGCATGCTCTTCGCGCCTTGTCCCTGGAGGATCTTTATAGTCGTCGACTGTACTCCACGGACACCATACGGTCGTCCCGGCCGCCGACAATCACTGTGGGCGGGAAATCGAAGTCGCAACCCACGTTCAAAATGAGGTCCACCTCGTGTAAACCGAGAGCCTCTTGTTCTGGACTATGGAAGTACCTTGTTATCGAAGATGTTTGGACATGTCGTATAGTGCCGTGCAAAGTGCCGTACAAAACGTCACGCCGGAGAAATCTCAGGCACAAATTGAATTGACGTCAAGTGCCGTCTTCGGTTTGGTATGTCCCGGTATACGACGAAGGTTCTTCGCTCCGCGGCCGCACAGCCATCTCAATCCAGTGATGGTTCGGGAAGGCAGGCGTATCAACTTTTCTGCAACGGTATAGTAATTCTGGTATACGGTCCATTGAGTGGATGACATAATCTCCAGATACCAGTAAAAAACCGATATCACATGCAGATTCAGATTGTCGGTTACACACAGATTGACTGCTTTCAGGAATGGACTTTAGGACATGGTCTAGGCTCGTCAACACATCGCCATCGCTCTTGTATACCCACTCCTTGCAGTGTGTCTACACCGTGTGGTGGAGATTAGCATCGGAGTGGAAGTACGGCGATGTGCGGGTTACAAGGCTGACGCCAACCTGGTTAAGGCAAACGAGCGTTCGCAGCCAATCCTAAATAACCGACCGATTTGAGTCGAACTGGCAACACGGAAAGACCTGTCATATACAAGAATGTGCCAATGTGAAGGATCTGGGCAATATGATCAATGTGGGTAAATTTGACATGTTCGGTAACTTCGGTAGATTCGGTAAATTTGACAATAGGGGCAAACCGTGGAGTTGAGGCTGTTGGGGCTCAAAAGAGCTCGTGACCTCCGTTTGATAACGGGATGCAGGCATCTAGAGTAGAACGAACTGTGAACCTCTTACGGTCGGTAGTACAATTACCACCACGGACAAGGTCGTTCAGCATCGACTGGACTGGTCCTCTATGTTGTTATACATTATTATGTTGGGTGACATTGATTTTGGTGATAGACATTTTGGACGTATATCCTGGTAAGGCTGGGGAGTCATAGTTGCAAATGTAGCTAATAACAAAGTGATGGGGAAATTGTCGCAGCAAGTGCAGCGAATGAAATGGAAGAAAACGTGGACAAGAAAGGGAAAAAACTCCGAACCAGATAAGTTTTCAAAAAAATTGGGCGCCATTGTCCGCATCGGCGACATCCGAAAAGCATAACAACGCCTTGGGCGGAGAGGCGCAGGGATACTTGAGTGGAAGTCGGCGATGTCAGAGCGGTGTTGCCGACAAAATGGAAATCGAAACGGGCGAGGAGACCGGAAAATCCATCAAAAATCTATAATGGGCTGGGCGGCAGATAGTGCTCTGCCCAGTACAGTTGATGCTGATAATTACTGCCGCTTTCATGTGCAAAAAAAATAAGATCGCCAACGAATTCGTCTTACAACCTAAACGCCAATGTCTTGGATCAGCCTGCGTCCAACAAGGTAGCCCTGTTTCCCACTCTTATGACTATCTTTTGCGGCTACCCCTCTTCATAGAGCCTTTTTAAGTTACCACGTAATACCGTTTTTCTGCGCGCGTATTTGGTGGTTTACTTTCTCGGTTTACCTTCTTTGTCTTCCCGGCTTTGCTAACCGTTTATGTCTCTATAGAATAGTAGTTTTATTTCGACGGCGTGTCTTGGCTCTCTCGCTGTCCTCGAAAACCTCCGTAGGACCCCATCTAGAAACGGCACCAAGCAAACAGGACTTGCGAAGGTGTACACGCCCCCGTTCAGCTGGACCACCAGGGCGATCATTGATCATCTCCACAACCGGACTTCTCTAGTTCACAGCCAGACCGTGAGGGTCTAGAACAAGGGCCGGGGCTTTATCGCCCTTGGTTTATAACCGTTTGACGCTGCTCCCCAGCTTCAGGCGCGTAAGTAGAACAGACAAAGAAATAAATATAATAAAAATGGGTAACCACACCGGCGGCAACTAACCGTACCAAAAGGGAAGTTGTAAGCTCGAGTCTACCTACGATGTAGTCTAACGCGCTGCGGTCTTGGCATATCCCAAAACCCACTTTGCCCAGCACTCGTACGATCACGAAAAACTGTTACCTGTCATTATATGCAGAATATGAAAAAAAAGAGAGAAAAAAAAAAAGAAAAGAAAGAAAAAAAAAAAAGAAGAAAAAAAAAAAAAAAGAAAAGACAGTGACTTGCATGTGGCGAACGGCAACTTGCGTGGAACATGGTTATCTGCTGCTGGTAGATATATCAAAACCAAGTACAAGGCGGCAGCCATTGGGGGAAATGGACACTGTCCTACTACTCCAAACATTCGTACTATATCTCCGTTGGTCGGTGAGCTGAACCCGGTGTACAACTCAAATAACAGCCATCACAGATCAGCACCGTATGAGCCTTGCCTAGACCTAGATCAATGTCGCCAGGAGGACAGTCCAACATCTGCCCTTTGCCTGCGGCGGCTTTCTCCACGTGCTCTTAGCAGCCGGACAAGTGGATGCCTCTGCAGCCTGTGAAGTACAAAACCGGACGATGCCGAAACTCTCAGAATACGAGCTTGCTCTCCTTGGCACATGCAAACATGGACTGAGTCAGAGCAGGACTGAAGAAAGAGAGAAAGAGAGAGCTCGACGCAGAGGTGTGTGCTTGTGTGGTGCATGGTGTAGGGTATCGTGGCATGCCAGGGGGGGGAGAGGGGGGACGAGCGCGTGGGGCGAACCACCTGAGCTGGAGCGAGCTTAACCTGTGTTCCAATCCCAAAGGTTTTTGATAACTAGGTGCGTAAGGGATTAGAGTATGACGAAAAAGAGCCTGCTGCGTACCTTTGTTTGTGGAGACACCCTCGTTGCTTTTCCTTTTTCAGCCACGTCCCTCTCGTTCTTCAGTTCAAAAGGGCAGGAGGATTTAAAGGTCAATCACACGCCCCTCCATCACAGAGCAAGGCGTCGACAGTGGTTCGATCACGTACCGGTACATCTGCACTCTTCACATTTGCCAATAAGGTTGGGCGTGAGTGTATCAACAAAGACGACAACAATCGACCGTTGCAGGAGCTCAGAATCGTCTGTAATATTCACAGAGGTGTAGATGCATTAAACAAGGACGATGGAAGGAGAACATGAAATGTAAGACAAATGACAGAACATCATGGTGGTATTGCATTGGTATTGAACAACGTATAAAGTGTTTTCGGGCTCTGGTGGGCCAGGCCGCTAACAGTAGCCACCACCTTTCCGCGCCTTGTGGTGTCGGTGGTCATTGTTCCTGCTCCGCTGGTATGGCCCCCAGTTTGCGTCACCGCTGCCACCACCGCCGCCCTGCTTTTGGTGGTTCTGGTTGTTGTGGTGGTTGTGGTTGTTCCGTTCGCGCCTAGACGGGGCATGGCTCCGGTTGTTGTTGTTGTTGTTGTTGCCGTTGTGATGATGGTTGCCACCACCGCCGCCGCCGCCGCGACTTGACTCCGGTATAAGCTCGTCCACTTCAGTCTCCACCTCGGTGTATTCCTCTTTGAAATACTCATTTACCGCGGCTTCCTCTTGCCGCATCCTGCCAACCTCAAATAAGAACCGCATCGTGCCTACATGCTTGCGTGGTTTCACAGACGCTCCAAAAACACCAGAGGAGCCACCGCCGGCTGTACCACCAGCACCGCCAGCATGAGGCCCCGACCCCGTTGTGGCCGGCGACCTGATCGAGCCAGGTGTCTGAATGGTATTGCTCCCACCATGGTTGTCCCCGCCACACTGTTCATACCAGGCGTCGGTCCGGTGCAGGTCCGGGTCGTCGTCGACCTCCTGGTTGATCTTGATCTTAATGTCAATGAACCGGTTGAGGTCGAATTGCGAGCCGACTTTGGTGCTCTTGGTGAACTGCGTATAGAGGTCGAGTAAGTCGAGCAGCGTCTCAACGACACAGCTGCGGCTCGTGTGATAGTAGCCGTCGCCGCCACCGCCAGCCATGCTTGATTTTGCGATTGTCAGCTGCCGCACGCGGTCCAGATGCTTGTCGTCGAGGATGCGCGCCGTCAGCTCAATGGAGGCCAGTGCCATCGTAAACGACGTCTGCTTGATGGGCGCAAACGTCTTGTACAGGTCAATGGACATGGGATAGGCGACGCCCAGAAACGCCCGGGCGTCCTCGGCAGGAATCAATTGGCGGAGCAGCTTGATGAGCAGCTTCTGCGGGTAGCGCACGCGGAAATCAAAGCCGACCGTCTGAAGGATCAGCCGATCCAACCCGACAATGATGGCGGACGGCCGCTCAAAGATCTTGTCGTCGGGCGTGGTGGGCTTGTCCGGGTTCTTGAGGTTGTAGGCGGCGCACAGCACCTCCTTGGACTTTTTGATCGTATCCTCGACCTTGCAGGCGACAAAGAGCGCCGACAGCGCGGCGTCCTGGAAATTGTACTCGGCGTCCCGGAAATTGAGACGGAATTTGTGGTAGTAGGTGCAGGCGGTCGCAAATGTCTTGACAGGCAGCTGCAACGCCTGGCGCACATTGTCAATCAGTTGAACGCCCTGGAGCCGGTAACTATCCTCGCGCGCAGGGTCGCATCCGGTCTCGCGCTGCAAGGTGCGCAGCTGCTGCTCGAGCATATACTGGCTGCCGACGGCAATGTAGCCCGGGTTGGGGCCCTTGACGGGCGGGTGCTCTTCAGTGATGACTTGGGGTTGTGACGGTGGTGGCGGGTGGCCATTGTGTGCGTTGTGTGCGTTGTGTGCATTATGCGTGCTCTTCCCGCTGCCGCCGCCGTTGTTCTGATTGTTGCTGTAGTTGTTACCTCCACCTTGGCGAAAGCCACCTCCACCTCCTCCGCCACCATGTCTCGGGCCGCGTCGGCCCATGGTCAGGGTTGTGTGATTCCGTTCTCGCGTTACGGAGCCAGCTATCGAGCGCTTAACGAGCAATGTCTGAGCCAGCAGGTGCCTAGCGGCGGTCCATGTACGCGAAGGTACTATCACAAGTTTTGGTCGTTGTCTAGTCGGTACGTATCGGTTGTCGACCCGGCTCGTATGGTGCTAAAGATTGATTGCCAATGCTGGCCTCGGCAGCCGTTGTCGGATCGAAGAGGTGGATGGGCATCAGCGGCACTGTCGTGATGGATTTAGCGTCACATGAGAGTATCAGAGAACGGTGTGCTTCGCCGGGATTTGGATATAATGCGCCGCGGCGCTGTTTCGCTGGGCACCGGCCGAAGTGGAAATGTCGTGATGTCGTCGATGCATACACGTCGTGTGCGATGGCCTTTGGAAGCCGCGTCGCGCGGTTTCCTTATCAAACGGCTTTTTCTGCCGCTATGTCTGTACGCAGAAGGCGGTGAAGGCCTATTCGTCCCTCTGTTCGTATACTGCCCGCCAATGTCCGCCACAGTCGCTGTAAATTTAGCGTGCAGTAGCGCCATAATGGGCCGTGGCTGTGCGCCCCTCTCCCCTCAAGAACACTAAAGTCACCAGCTGCAAAGCCGCAGAGCCGCAAGGCTCAGTTGTGTCAGTCGCTAACAGCCCAGGAGAGTGCTGACTTATAACTGTAACTCGGACGGAAGCGTCGTATCTGCCAACTTCTCCAAGGCTGACTTGGCACATAATGCGACGTACTCTGCATCTTACGACATACAGCATCGTCCGGTTCACCACGAAATACGCCGTAGAAAGTTGAAACCTTCGTCATTGCGTATAATGCACACCTCCAGTTGCAAACACACCGTGTGTCGTCTGTCAATCTCGTCGACTGCCACCGCCGATCCATCGACCAGTTCGGGGGACTTTCAGCAAGCGGCTACTTTTTCCAGTACCCAACGGCCACTAAAGCGCTAAAGACGGGGAGCCGAGATCGCCTGTGACGTCAAATCCACTGAGCGAGTGACAACAAACACAGTAGGCAACGAGACCAGCCGAAAACGGTGCAAGGAACCAGGCACACGCCGTCACAATTTTTGGTTTATTGTTCAGTAAACGCGGGGACGACACGGGGCTCCTCCCATTTCAAGAGAACTGGCAACCTCTGGCAAATTCATAACACAACAACTCTCATCCACTGTAGCCATTCTCCGGTCACTTTGACCGCTTTGACAAATTGAATCTTATACAGCATTGACACTACTCGCCGTCCCATGAATAGCAAGCATGCCGACCGAAGCAACTGATACAGATGCCGGCCCACCACCCGGACGCCCGCCGGCGAACACGGCGGCAGCGACTCTGAGCGCACCACAGTTGCATGCGCTCTTTGACATCCTCACACGCTATGAGACATACTATGAGGTCCAAGACTTTCGCGATCCTGACACGATCTCTGCCTATGGCACACCATTTGTGGAACGAAAACCGCCCGCGTCAACGGGCAACGGTAACAGGGACCAGCAGGAGGGCAAAGATGAAAACGATGCGACCGGCAGCACGCCGACCAATGTGGTCTATGCGCGGCAGTCCCGCTCGCCCATCCTGCACATGCTCTTTAACAAGACGGTCATGACGCTGCCGCCCGCACAGACACTGCCGCCTGCTTTCTGGCATGTGCGCGTGCAGGGCATAATGGAACAGCTGGCCGGGGCCGAGCTGTCGGAAAGCTACGACCAGGGCGCCATGGGCACGCGCAAGATGCTGGCGACGGCCGCATCGGCGCTGGTCGAGTCCCTGGGCCGCGGAGCCTTGGGCGGGTATCCAGCACACCCCACTTCTGAGCAAGACAAGACGCTCGCGGAACAAACGTACGACACAGCGAACGCCGCCGACTTTGCGCGTGCGTGGGACGACGTACTGCGCGCCGCGGTCTATGACGACCTTGTGGACGAGCTGTTTGCGTACGCTGCCACGCACCCAGACATGGAGGGCCACTCGCCGGCCGTCGCCGCCGCCGCGGACTACATCATTGTGCACATCGCCGAGTTCCTCCACTACGTGTTTGTGCTGTCACCCAACGGACGCTACCTCACGAAGCTCGTCGACAGCGTGCAGCTACTGGTCCCGTACTCGCTCGTGCGCCAGACGCTGCGCGTGAGCAACGCGGCGACCATGATCAACGGCATGATGAAGCTGCTGCTCGCCAAGCTGAGCGTGGGTGGCCTTACCAACTGGATTGGCTTGACGTCGACGGCCGACGACGGTATGAATCTGCTGCAGCGGATCGTGTCGCTTGTGCTGTCGTACGACGCGTCCAATTTCAAAAAGGCGGCCGACAAGATCGACAAGGAAAGGACGGCTTCCAAGGCACAGCTGGCCGCCATCCGCGAGCACATGGCACGGCCGCGGGCCTACCACGAGGCGGTGCGAAACGAGAGCCTGACAAAGGCCTCCTCGACCAACGACGGGCACCACGCCTCCATGGTGGCCGCCATCCTCGATTCGGTCGATCCCAGCCTGACGTCCTCGCTCACAGAGTCCCAGTACGCACAACTCGCACAGTACTACGCCGCGCTGCTCTCGGTACACGACCGTCGCGAGCTCACCAACGTCTTCTGCCGGCAAAGCCCCGACTTGTTCACGCAGGCCGTGCGCGACGGCGTGGCTGCGTTCGACCCCATCATCCGCGGCATCCACGACAAGATTGACCTCAAGGAGCACGTCAGCGACATTGAGAGCTTCATCAACGAATTCATCGAGATCAGCAAGGGCACCAAGCCGGCGTCCAAGACGTCGAAAAACGAGGACCGGATCCTCCCCACCATTAAAGACTACGTGGAGCTGCTGCGGCGGAATCGGCATCTGCTGTACAAGTGGTTGCATCGCGTCGCACACGACACGCCCGACATTCGGGAAACGTTCCGCAGATGGGCCATTGAAACCATCAAGATATTCCGGGGTCCAGGCGCGTCCGAGTCGGGGAACCGGGACGGAACGCCAACAGCATCTACAGAAAAGAAAAACGACCTGGGTGCTTCACGGCTGGAGGGCAGTGCTGGTGCCATGGACCCCGACCTGCGTGCCCTCTTTGCAACCCTGCCAGCCGATGTCCAGACCAACGTCGTTTCCGTGCTGGATGAACAGGTTGCCTACCTTGGCGCACTTGATGAGGCTGCCGCACAGCAGCGACAAGTCCTGCTCGACAAGATCAATGCGCCATCCAACACGGCGGAGGACGAGAGTACCTCCTCGTCGTCCCCCTCTTCAAAACAAGCCCCAGGCTCGGGTCGCTTTATTGCCCGCTGGCAGGAGCTGCTGGACGATACCGTCATCGGCCCCGGCACCGCCTATGGCCCTCTGCGGCACGGCAAGGACGTCGCCCACATCACGGCACCAGGCAAGACGGGTGCAAGTCCCTCTGGTGCCGGCAACAGCGGCGGCCCCAACGGACTCAGTGGTGGCGGCAGCAATGCGTCGTCCTCCAAGAGCAATCTTCGCAAGCTCGACGGCGGCTTCCTAAGTGGCATCTCGAGTGCCCTCAGCAGCCGCAATACGTCACCGGAGCGGACGCCCACGCCCATCCCAGCATCGGCCGCAACACCCGGCCGCATCGATGTCGGTCCACGGCCGCCCAACGTACTGCCTGTAGTGGACGCTCTCGGAACACAATTCCGGCAGTTGTTGGTGGAACGGACGTCGAGGCCAACGGAGCCGGTGAAGGACAGTAATTAAAGTAGAAGGTCATGTAGGATAGAAACAACTAGGTAAAACTCTTGGACACAGCGGGCAAACAAGTATTTTTCATTTTGTCCTGTATTGCGTTTGGCATTTTCATTTGGATACCTTGAATTGATGGCATAATAAATGAATGAATGAATTATTACGCATCCTTCTGTGTTCTTTTGAGTAATACGGTGATCTACACCAGTTTGACTTGCAGTTATCATGCGCTGTTGATTCTCCGCCGAGGCCGTTGGCCATAAGTAAATGGAGTTTGATATCACATTGAAGTCACTCTATGAGGCTTTATTGATTGTATTATGGAAAATGATCTTGTGCCCTAAATGCCTATCTCCAAATAATGGGAGGCTCGATTTGGATTCACTGTTATTCTGCCTTGAGCATTCCAAGTTGCTCCTGAATGAAAGAATGAAGAGAGCCCTCGGTATTGGACGAGATGCAGCACAATCGCCGGATCCCTGTGCGTGTTTGCTTGAATTTCATTGGTTTTGGCATGTGCTTGTGCCTGACTTGTCAAACAAAGTAATCTTCACATGCGTACCCACTAACAGTGCATGCCAGTGACGTCATGACATAAGCGGGTCCAGCTGCAACGCAAAGCTTTCAAGCTCCTGCTGTTTTCCCTTTCTATTGAAAAGACGATTGGGAGGAACTCTTTACATCAAAACAACATATCGATTTGCCGCTTCATTGTCGTCGCTTTACGCACGCCAGCACGTCCGACAACAAAAACACCGTCCGTATTAGCCGCAACCATGCCATCCGACGAAGGCTACTCACTCAACCCCATCACGCTGGGCTTCCAGCTGTGGCAGGGCGCCATCGACCGATTCCTGTCCCCGGCCGCTCCGGATCCGAACAAGAAGCTGCGCCGGCCCAAGGTGGCCATCATCGGCGCCGGCATCACCGGCGTGACGGCTGCGGCGCACTGCGTCGGGCACGGCTTTGATGTCGTCCTCTTTGAGGCCGGCGGGCCCGACCACCTCGGCGGCATTTGGAGCCAAGTCAACGACACGTCGGGTCTCCAGATCCACTCCGCCATGTACCGCTTCCATCCGTCCGTGCGCTGGCGGCGCGGGTATCCCAGCCGCGCCGAGATTGTGGACCAGGTGAAGAAGCTGTGGGAGCGGTACAACCTGCGGTCCAAGACGCGGTACCATGTGACGGTGGACAAGGTGTACCAGGACGAGAACGGCCGCTGGGTGATAAACAGCCCGGACAACGGCCTGTTTGAAGGCGTCATCGTCGCCATTGGCACGTGCGGCGAGCCCAAGAAGCCACACATTGAGGGCATGGAGTCGTTCAAGGGCGACATCTACCACTCGAGCGAGCTGACGGGCAAGTCGGCCGAGGGCAAGCGCATTGCCATTATCGGCGGCGGCGCCAGCGCGGTCGAGGCGCTCGAGTTTGCCGGCAAGACAAAGGCCGAGAAGACGTACGTGCTCGCGCGCAGCGAGAAGTGGATCATCCCGCGCAACATTGTCGTCGACGTGCTGCTGTCGTTCAACATCCTGGGCCAGGAGACGGTGTTCTCGCGGATCCCCGAGAGCCTGCTCCGCCGCTTCTTCTACGGCAAGGACCTGGCCAAGATTGCGCCGCCCGAGAACAAGGGCCTCTTTATGGATACGCCCATGGTCAACTCGGACGTCATGGACAACCTGCGCGCCGGCACCGCCCAGTGGGTGCGCTGCGACATTGAAAAGTTTTCGGAGACGGGCGTCGTGGTCAACCGCCGTGGCCAGGGCGTGCCCAAGAACGGCCCCGGCCACCGCGAGGAGATTGACGCCGACATTGTTGTGCTGGCGACGGGCTTCAAGCGCCCGTCCCTTTCCATTTTGCCAGAGGACTGCTTCGACGAGCCGTACGACCCGCCAAACTGGTATCTCCAGACGTTCCCGCCGACGCATCCCTCGATCTCGGCCATCAACTGGTAGGTCCCACGCCCTGAAGGATACCAAAAGAGGTACCATATGCTGACACCCCTTTTTTCTAGCACGTACCTCGCCGCCATCGGCACTGTCGGCAACTGGCACATTGGCATCTACACCCGGATCCTGCTCATGTTCCTGGTCGACCCCCTGACCCGTCCCTCGCCGTTCTGGATGGAGCGCTGGATCGACATGACGCGCGTCCTCAAGCAGTGGTCGCCGACCAAGGCCTTTGATTTCTTTACCTATCTGGAGCTGATCTGGTGGTTCGTCTTCTGCATCGCCTTCAACCCTTTCCGCTGGAAGTGGGCTATTTTTGTCTTCTTTGGCATCGGCATCGGCCTGCCGCGGGCCACGATCGAGATGGAGAGCGGCATTCGTGACACGGTCGGCATTACGGAGAAAAAGGGAACCGGACGCGATCAGGGAATAAGCTTCTAGAGGACAACGGTTGTTGGATATTCGGTATTACGAGCAGAGAAAGACACTGGATAGATCGGTTCATCTTTGTAAGACACTGCGGCAATTGGGCAATTGGGCAATTGGACAATCGGCATTGGGGCGATGATTCGGTTAGATTTTAAGAGACAACAAAACATGGAGTGCTTCTGACAGATAAATGTAGCCTTTTGTGCCTACGTATGGTGCCTCTTTGCACTGTTCTGTGACTGGAACTGCGTAAATTCGTAATGTCTCTACACTTTGGCTAAATCTCAACTGTAACTGACAGGGTCGTGACAAAGATGTGATTCCATAATGAGATGGAACGGTTATTCACTCTAACAGTACAGTGACCCCGTGAATGAACCCAAGTCGCTTTGGAAGGCATTGACTCCTATTGACATTCCCGTCACTCGCCTGACATCCTGTCAGACGGCGACAGTTTAAAAAGGCACGTCTCAAAACGGTACCAAACAAAACAAAGGACAAAAAAAAGGAAAACAGGGATACGTCAAAGACAAAACAACAGCATACGACTTTTCAAACCACATACGGCATCATGTGTGTCCAGTTCTACCTCATTTTCAAATTCGACTGTGGCCACTACCATGTTGACACCATGGAGAGAGAGTACTGCAATTCGATGTTCTGCCACAGGACGACTGCAAAGGCGCACAGGATGGTGATCCGTGGCAAGTGTGTCGCCTGCATCAGGGGTGGAAAATAGGTGGCATTGTTGGCATTGTTGGCGATGTGCTGCGAAGCAAGTCAGTCGTTTACAACATGTTTAGTTTATTCATGATAGTTATGAGTCATATTTTTAATATTACCGTCTACAGTGTACGAAGTATTTCGACCATGTTCGACAAGGGTACCCTAAGAAATGAAAGCATAACCTCTTCACCGCACTTGCTATTGTCTTACTATTCCGCTGCACCCCAGTTCCATGTTTCTTGATTCTTACTCGGCCAGTGGATGGATCTCACACGGAACATTGCCCTGCAATGGTAACTGGGCTTACCTTGGCAAGACGTTCGGCTTAGCGCCTCGGCTTACGGCGTCTCTTAGAAAAGCTGAAGCTCTCGAATTCGACACGGTCTGCAGAATGAACTGGCTCGAAGATGGCTGGCTCAGCTAGGGGCTCAGCTAAGGGCTCAGCTAAGGGCTCAGCTAAGGGCTCAGCTAAGGGCTCAGCTGGGGAAAACTCTCCACAGGCATGCATCTCCGGTTCTCTCTCGGGCACCGGCTCCGGCATACCAACGATTTCAACGATTTCAGCGCCCCGTGGTGGCGCCTCGTCTAGGTCCAAGTCGGTTCGCAAGGAAAACCAAGGTGGCATTGGATCTGTATAAAGATGGGCGGTCAGTTCCACGGCAATTCGTGAAGCAGTCCCATACACCCCCCAATCCCACAAAGCGCATACCTAGTCAGTCGTCGACGTACCGTCTTCTGCCTCGTCTGCGGCCGGGACGCGGTGCTTGTCCAGGCGTCGCAGCTCGTTCTCGCACGCTTCGAGACACGTCTTCTTCTCCACGAGACGCGCCCGCTCGGCCGTGGCATCTGGGTTCTCGCCGGCGAGGTGGCGAATGTCGTCGTCCGCAATGGCATAAATCGTGTCGGGGGGGAAGAGGCCTGGCAGCTTGCTCAGCAGACACTGCTCGACGACGAGAACGCTGACATTGTCGATAAAGCTCTTGAGGGCGACCTTGTAGTAGGCCTCCATGTAGTCGATGGCGTTGGAGGCGGCGACGCGCTGCATGTCGGGCTCGGTGGCGCGCAGCAGCTTGTCCAGGAGTGTCTCGATGGTCGAATGAGGTATTGTCATCCCGTCGTCACGGCTGTAACTGCAGAGGACATTGCTAAGCGAGGCCCGCAGACGATCGTTTTGCACCTTTTGGACGGTCTCCGTCAGGTAGTGGTTGTACGTCACCGGATGGCCCGTGATGTTGGCCGCCAGCAGCCTGTCTGTCGCGTCCGCCATGTCCTTTTTCAGCGTGGTCATGGCCGGGTTGATGCGGCTCTGCAGGATCTTCTCGGCCGTGTCTTGGACGGTGATGTGGCGCAGGGTGGCGGCGACTGCGGCAAAGCACGACTGCAGGACACTCTCGGTGCACTCGTCGGCCAGGCGGCCCCAGTTCTTGCACTGGTCCCGGAAGAGGTCGCCAACAACGAGCGGGTTAAACGTGCCCGGCAGCTCGCGGCCGCGGGACATGGCAATCGCCGTCTTGACCTCGTCGACGTAGTCGTCGCGGCGGATCCTTTTGCCGTTGCTGTGCTCGATCCTCTCATCGCTGGTAGAGTCGCAAACAATCTTGCGCGTCTGTCCGCGATTGTGCATGTCCTTGGCGAAGCGCGTGAGGCGGTTTTGCACGACGGCCCGGAGACGGCGGCGGTAGCCTGTGTGGTCTTGTTTGTTGTCCTGCGTGTTTGGATTTTCTGCGACGTCGTCGTCTTCCTCCTCTTCGACGCCAGCCGTGTGTTCCCTCTCCTCCGAGCGCGGCTCCACGTTCCCAAAAAAGGCCGCGTCGGTGTAACTGCCGTTGACAGCCGCCGTGACCAGTGTCGAAAACTGGCTGCTGATGCGCGACAGGTACTGGCGCTGCTCGCCTGCCGTCGCCCGCGGCGAGCCCAGCCGTGCCAGACCCAGGCGGCACTCGGCCAGGAGAGCATCGACATCCGCCAGGATGGCCGGCAGCTGCGACAGGATGTGGTCCATGAGCACGGTGCTGAGCTTGGGCCGCAGCGGGCCGATGCCCAGGTGCGCGGGCTCGACGGTGCGCCAGGCGCTTCCGGGGGCCGTGAAGAACGCGGCCTCTTTGGCGTCGCGCTCGGCACTCGACGCCGCTCGCATGGTGTGGTCCCGGTTGCGGAGGACGTGCCAGCCCAGCTGCAGGTGCACGTCGCGGTTGCGTGCCATCTTGACAAACGCGCGCTCGCTGTCGGAGCCCTCGTCCAGCTTGTCGGGCTTGGTGATGAGGCCCATGGTGCGGGCGCCGCGGGGATCGACATGGCGTCGCGGGCCAGCTGCGTGACGGCCTGGTTGGCAAAGTCGTAGGCGGCCGACACGACGGCCAGGATGATGCTGCGGGGCCGTGTCATGTAGTCCAAGACGAGCCGGCGGACCAGGGGCGCTTCGTCGGCGGACTGCTCGGCGTTGCCCGCCTGGAAGAGACCGGGCAGGTCGACGAGGGTCAGATGCTGCTGCTGCGGGCCGGAGAGTTCGATGCGCAGGACGTCGTTGCTAAACCTGCGGTTGTCTGCACCGCTGGCGCCGCCATCACCACCGCCGTCGACAAGTCCCATGGCCGCCTTGGCGGCTTCAATGACAGGCCCGACGTCGGGGTCGTTGGGATCGACGTCGGCACTGAACGCTTGCAGGCGCTCTTTTTCGCCAGCGCTGCGGTCGTGGTGCGGCTTGATGGACACGGCCACGCTGGCCACGGGATGACGACGCAAGATGAGCTCCGTGGCAAAGCGGGTGCACAAGTTGTCCTTTGTCGGGAAGGACAGACCGGAAATGGCTTCGAGCACGGAACTCTTGCCGGACGACTGGTCCCCGCAGACAATGATTTCGGGCAGGGCCACATAGCGGTCGAGGCCTTGCGAGCGCAGGTTGTCGATGATGTCGAGCAAGTCGCGGTAGTCTTGCGACTGGATGTTGAAGGGGGCCATGGTGAGGATGTTGGTGTGAAAAAAGGCGGGAAAGTGGGCGGCCAGGGTCCTGCGACGCACTTTCAGGAAACACGAAGCCATGAAAGGCCGAGAGGAACAAGAACGGCAGACAAGAACATGGCACATATTTATAGACGAACAACTACAACGAGTGTTTGCACAACGAAAAGGGAAGAAGACGTTGGAAGATGTTAGAAACTGTATCAAACAGACAACGAACGCGTAAAACAGTCAAACGCCGCGCTGTCAACAAAGAGAGCAAACGCAGGTGGATAAAGATAGACGGTTCAAGACGAAAACCATGCCACAGCACGTCAGATCGTCAAATGATGCCCCGGGTCTTCGGGCATGGCCGTGATGATGTCGCTGCGCACTTTTGGGCCTGGCGGCCATCGGCCTTGGCCACACGCGGTCGCCACAGCCGTTCCAGCGGCCGTTCAATCCGTGACCAGCGTGGCTTCTTGAAGAAGAGCCGTGGTAGTAGTCCAATGTTCAATGTTAAATGGATATTGCGAAGCATAGACTGGTGTGTGAAAATCTTTTCTGTGTACACTGTTGTGCCTTGAACTTCATTGTGACGTATATAGCACGACATAATTGCCATCCCCCCCTTTTTTTTGGTAAACAAAGTAGTTAAAAAACGGCATCAAGGTGTACTTGTCGGATTCACATAAATATAGAGACCGCTTTACATGATATTTCTTGTTTTGCATCGTTTCTATTTGCTCTAAACATAACCATCACCTTGAAAATCCACCGTCGAAACATATGTTTCGTTTCTGGCTGTCTAACTCGAGTGTCAGCTCAGCTAGTCGTCCTACTGTGTGCACGCCGACTTGTGCGCTGCAGCACACTGTAATTGCAGCACGAGATCACCGCTGTTGTTTACGCCCAGCCTGGCCACGCGCTGTAGTCGTCTGTTGAAAACGGTACCGTTCTGGGAAACGACAAATGCCCACAGATGCAAATATCGGCTATCAACTTGGGCACTTCACGTCCTACCAAATGATGGGCACGCAATCTCATCTTACACTACCCAGTTGATCAGCACATAAGAATAGGGATTAAGGTTAGGTTCTCGTCGACAGATGAGAGGTCAGAATAGTCAAGCTGGTAGACGTTGGCCGATCAGCGTATTTTTGTGCACCCTTTGCCTACGCCGTACTTTCACAGCAGACAATGAGGAAAAAGAGCAAAAAATAGTGTACGACCAATGTCGAGACAGGATGGGCCAAGTGGAGCCGGATCGGGAAATTGACAAGATCCCTAAAAGTGAGAAGTGATATATTTAATCCCGAAGGAGGGCACGGGGTCGGGGACTCGAGGGGGGGGGGGGGGGGGCAACGACGTCAAGCTCGGGGCAGAACGCTCTTCGCTTCCCTGAAAAGGAATCCTTTCGTGGAGAGAAAGTCGCGATGGGTCAATATTGCCTGTGCTCTGTCACCCTCTCCTTGTGCACCTGGTCAACTGGTTGCCTCTTTTTTTGCTGCTAGTGTACGGAGGCATACTCCATGCGTCGTAGCGTGTCTGTGTCCTCTTTCTGTTTCGACCTGGCGAGCCAGTCGCGCTCAACAGACGATGCATGTCAAAATTGGTGGACGCCCCCCCTCCACAATTGTATCATCCTCTTTTCCCGTTCGAGCCACTTGCATGTTCGCGCGGACTGGGCACTGATGCTCACCATGCGCCATGCGCCATCCTAGGCTTTCTCGCCTTGATGCAATGGGGTGAGAAGGGGTCGCATCAAAGCGAACCGGTGCACCATATCTGCTTCTAGTTGGAAGAAGACGAATGGCAGAACAAAAGATCGCATGTCCCGCTGCGCGTGTGTTGTTTTTTGTACATGCCGCTAAACCGTTCTGCCTTCCTTGTCCTTCCAGATGATTGGCCTCGTTTCAGCTCGATGAACTGCTCCCTGGATTTGGCAATGTAGATCGTCCAAGTCAGTCCCATATGCACGGGCTGTTGTAGTTTGCACGTCTGTTTGCAGGTCTGCTCATCGGTTTGCTCGAGCCATGGCGCTGCATCATCGTCATCATCATCATCATCATCATCATCAACTTCTCACCGTGACTCTCCATATTTCTCGTCACTACAATGTAAATGCGACAGATACGGCGTAATACGAAGCGAACGCAAAACGTTTTGACCCTCTCTGTGGCGAAAACGGCCCCATTTCTTGTTGCTCCATTCGCATTGGAACCTTCCTCCGTCCTTCTCTGCTTATGCTCCATATCTTGCCGACCATACCTCGTTGGTCAACATGCATTAGTCGGTCCCCCCCCCCCCCCTCGCCCAAAAAAAAACCGTTGAGAGCTACTTCGGAGCTATCCTTTCTGGGACTTTTTTCTTCTTTTTCTTACATGCTTTGGCTAATAGAGTAGAAAGGGCAGTGAAGAGCACCCACTCTCTTGCAGCCGTTGATATCACCAGAAAAGGGTCCTACGTTCGGTGAAGTAAATTGCGGCAAAAGATTAATGGACCTACCGTTTCGTTACCTCGAAAATAAAAAGACGAAAATAAAACAAAACTTGTCGGGAGAACCGTTACGTGATTGCGTGATTCCCCGGTACGGATGGAACCTACAGGGTACCCAGCCAGCCAGCCAGCCAATATGTTGCAGCTTGTCCTGTGAGGACGGTTGGTGACAGTGGAAATCGATTCCTTTTCTTCCTGTGCAGAACGGCACTTGATTCGGATGACGATATCCGGTGATGCTTTTGCGGCGCGAAATGGAGTCTGCCTGGAGCAATGGTGATGCTGCCTTGTTGAGATGACCTGAACCACGGACAGAACGCGTCGCATGTGTCCCGGTATGGTATCCAGTGCTTTTCAAAGTCGATCTTTTTCTTTCATTGAGTTCTTTCTCGCCGTGCTTTTACTGCAAGTTTTGCTGGTAGCGCATGAGAGAAACCATCAGCAATCGGATATCGGCCGCCTGCTCACCGAAGCTATTTTGGCATCTATTTCAAACTTGAATCAGGCCAGGCCAGGCCAGGCTCGCATGGAACTGTCACTCACGCAGCCGACAAAATAAAAAGCAGGAAAAGACTCGCCCGGATTACTTTGAGGCAAGGACGGCGGGTCTCAGCGGGGGCCTGGCCTCCCCTGCCAGGGTTGCAATGCGTTGGCCTCCCACTTTGTTTTCACTTCCGGTCTGGTGTGTGGGTCTGGGGGTGTACTGACCTGTTGCTCTTCTGTCATTTTGACTCCCTCTTGCTTGATTTCCCTCAACCCGCACGTCACCTGGTACGGTCAGGCTCCCGGTAAGGGACCTTTTGCAGCTCAAGCACAGGAGCGTTCGATCACCTGACGAAGGTCCACCTGCGGGCTGTTGGCTGTGACAGAAAAACAATACACGCGGACGACGTGGGCCTAGGGCTCACCGAGATCACAGCGAACGCTCTGATTCAAGCCAGGGTGGCCAAGTGGTCCAATGGCCCCTGACGGATAATGCACAATGTTTTGATCATGCTCTGCAAGTCCTGACTGGGCGCCTTGTCCCTGCAATGGCAATCTCTCACGAAGATGCTGCGTACTCTGAGCCAGTGACTCTAAGCGAGTGCCATTCTTTTCGTATCTGAAAAAGCACAAATGCAGAGCCTGTGGATGCTGTTTTGTGGAGAAGTGCAGAAAGCGTCACTCATCTGCCGAGCGACGGTACCGTCGGGCGCGTATTTTCATGCAGGTTGATGCCACATTTGCCGTGTATACGGAGTAAATACGAGGACTGTTGAGCCTGTTTCTTGCGCGATGTGCAATGTGCCATGGGCCCCTGAACATCTCACTGCACGTTTCTTGTTAGTCTGTTGGTTGTTGTTGGCGTCGGCGTCGTCGTTTGTTGCACTGGCTTCGCCAGGAGAATGTGGAAAGCGAGAATACTAACCTAAGCCGTTTATGAGTGCTTGAGTTTTCCGTCCAAATGCAAACTGCCCACACACGCGCCGGCGTGGGCGTGGGGGGACGGTGGACGGTGGCCGGAGGTCGGAGGTCGGAGAGTCACTGCAGCCGCGAGGTTCCTCATGTGGACATGGAGACAACGACCTGGAAAGAAGACCGGGGTTGATTGAACCCGCGTCACCAACGTGCGCTCTCATCGTCTGCCTGCTTTGTTTTTCTTGGCCTCCTGCAGTCCCCCATCTTGCGGAAGAGTTTTTCCACTTTCGCCATGCTCTTTCACCCCACTCTCTCCGATCTGCATGTTTTGTTTGGTTGAGATTGTGCTTCTCGACGTCTGAGAGTGCCTGGCAGGGGAGTCGGCGCAAAAAACGGACAACGAGAAGTCAAATGTACATAGCATGTCGTACTGCGAGCGAATACAACGTGTGCCCTGCTGCCTCAAGGTGCTCCGTGTGCTGTGTTTGCTGTGTTTGCTGTGTTTGTCCTGTACTTTGGCCAAGTGTGAGACATAAACGCCATCATCCCCGTGGCCGTTCTTGTGACCGTGGGGGATGGCGAGTTGTGTAATGGCCACAGCATGCAAAGTGCGCAACCAACTAAATGGGGGTCAGGCATGGGCCATCGAAGAAACAGATGTGGGGGGACAAAGTGCAAAGGAACGACGCCAAACGGGGGACTTGACATGTAGTGGGATATGGAATCGTTGGCCAGGAAGAAGTCTTGGCGATGCCCCATCTCTTGTCTACTCTGTTCCTTCTCCTCGTTTGTGAGAGGAGGGGCAGGTAGGTCAGGGAGCTTACGCGGAACTGGCGATGTTTGTAAGCGTGTGGAGGGGGTCAAAAATACGTGAAAGGAGGATACTGTGTTGGATGTGGTTCCAACAGGTTCAACAGACTCAATAGATTCAATAGATTCAACAGATTCACGCGAGATAAGATCAGAGGAGGAGAAATTACCGCAGTTTGGAAGGAGCCACCGCGGATCGAAGTCCGCTTCGGGGGCAACCACGGAATGATGCCAATATGTTTCGAATGACTACCCTTGCCGCTCATTAGATGTTGTGGTTTGTTGCTCGCCGCTGCCGCGTACGATGGCCTTGCCCCTATTCCTGTTCCGTTTGCCTGAATGGCAGGCACAAGCAAATCAGTGGTTTAAGAAGGAACGCCGTGTCGATGCGCAAAAGAAGGCAAAACTGATGGAGCAACAACCAAAAATGATATAAAATGCCCAACAAAAGCAAACAGCGTCACATTTGTGGCCCTGCGGGACGTTGAGCACATGCCGCGAAGTGCACCAAAAAAGTGACAAGACGAGCGATCAACACAGACAAGGTAAACGAGGCCAACAGACAAGTGTCATTCGAAACCCGGCATTTTCGATGGCGATCAACAACAGAAGAGACAGGCGGGAACGAAAGCAGTGAGCAACAGACAAGAGAGCAATGTGCAACCCTGCTGTGTGTGATATTCCTGCGAGATTTCCTGAGAAAAGTAACCTATATATCCGTGTAGTGTAATGCGATAATGACAGTGGTGCCTTGTGCCCCAGACAATGCACGTGGGAAAAACGCCTTGAAAATATTGAGGCGATGTGCTCGAAGCAAAACGAGAGAAACAAACG